TAAAGCTGCTCTCTACTCCACATTCAATCAGAATGTGGGCAGCACCTCAACTGAGTGAGGATGTTGGTGGCCAGCCCTGCTTTTATAGCTGGTCTGGAGTGGTGGGCAGCCACTTGAGGCTCAACCAAAAAACGGGGCTGAGCCTAGCCCTCGATCTGAACTTCGATCGAGGGCTGGGAATCTTCATGTTCTACTAGGAACATCAAGTCCCTGGCTTTAGTAATGCACCTGGCCGCCATCCACGGCCAGGCGCAGTCCAAAATGGCAGTACCAAGCCATTTTAGGACTGCATGCCCAAATTGAACAGGCGCAGTCTTGTCAGCCCCTAGAAGCTTCTAGGGGCTACACCTGTTCCACGGCCACGGCCACATTCGCGGCCGTTACCTTTTTTTTTTCCCCTTCCTTCCTTCTCTCTTCTTCTTCTTCTCTTTTCCCTGTATCCAACCTAACCCTGCGGCCACGTTCGTGGCCATTACTCTTCTTTTTTTTTTCTTTTTCTTTTAATAAACACTAGCGTCACCATATAGGAGCTGTCTCTTATACACATCTAGATGTGTATAAGAGACAGGTGCTAGGTGGGTGGTTTTGTGAAGGCCAGAGTCCTTGCCCCACAGACTGTCCCTGTAAGCCAAGCTGGGTATTGGATTTTTTTTTTTCTTTTTCTCCCCCTTTTTTTTTTTTTTTTTTTTCTTACCCCCCCTCTCGTTTCTCTGTGCAAGGCAGCTTGTTTTGAACGGCCACCCCTACTTCACAGGAGTGAACTAGAGTCACCCTCACAGGGACTCACTCCCCTGTGTGCGCCCGTATCAGGCTCAGAAGATGTGCCTGATTCGGGGGCGCAGCCGGCTAAACCCAACCTCGAGGCTCAACGAGCAACGTCGCTATGAACACTTGGTTGCCACCAGCCAGTCACCCCCATGGTAACTTATCCGACACCTCTAGCTTCGAGTTCTGAAACGCTAAGGAATTGATAGGCGCTCGTACCTGGGCCTCAACAGCGCTAGGTTCGGGCTCACCACTCCTTGAGTCCTTGCTGCAGCCCGTTCGTCAAAACGAACGGGCACTTAGTAAGATTGTAGAAGTAGAGGGGTGGGAAATCTAAAAGGAAAAGGAATAAAAAAAATCTAAATAAAATCTAAAAAAAGGATCTGAAACAAATCTAAAGAAAAAAATAAAAGAAAAGGAAAGAAAAACAAAAGAAAAAAAAACTTACCTTGAACTGAAAGGGCTGCCCGAAAATCGGGCGTTCGTAGGGACTCTAAGTCCCCGTCACTTCTCCCTGTGTCATGTGGAAGTAAAAGACTGCACACAAAGCACACAGCGGACTGCACGCAAAGTACACAGTGAACAGCAACTGGGAATGAACCCAATACACAGTTGTAGAATCATCGTAAGCAACCGCTCGTATTAGAAACGCCACGTTAACCAGTGAAAGGCTAACTATGGTCCCAAAGATAGCGATGGCGTCGCAGATGAAAAGAAGCGGTCATGGCCATCCACCAACCTCCCCACGCAACCGAATCACTCCCTTGGTCATACCGACACCGCTTAGGCGAAAGAGGACTAACTCATACCTGTCTCGCTATTTTAAGTCGTCGTCAACTCTATCACATCCGAGGCCTCGAACCGCTTCGATACTGCTGCCTTTCAGACCAACGCGTCAAAAAAACGCGCCGTCTGAAAGCAACAGGACTGAAAAAACGAAAAGACAACACACATCTGTACAAACCGCAAAACCGAGTAAGCGAAGAGGCCGGGCGTGGTACCCCGCCATTCACTATCGGTACTCCGTTCTAGAAAATTCATCTAGACACAGCCCCGGGTAAGTTCTCCCCGTAGAAAACGCTATTATTATACATATTACCCCCTTCTAGTAAATCCTCCGACTAATCACTAGTACAATTTCAGAAGGACATTTCCTGGTCCATATTTACGCTAAGTACAGCTTCCAAAGAGTTCTCCACTGGGAAAGTCCCATAAAAAAATCGACACCTAACATACCATACAAACAGGAAGATGAAAATCAGTCCAATGCATTCCGGGAAAATAAACACAAAACCGAGTGAACTACTGCTTCCAGATCGACATTCACTGTGAAAAAAGCATTCACAAGTCCTATTGACAAAAGCAAATCACACAAACTAGCTATCTATACAATGGGATCAGCCCATTTGTTATCTGTGAACAGTGCAGCCATCATCTTGCACACTGTACTTTTATCCCGGCTGAAGTTCTGCAATGCACGTCCAAACCACCATCTCGGATAGTGGTTCCTCCTCAATTCCATTCTCAAAAGGAGAACTGATTCAAAAACTTCCAATCCCATGCATGAGTTCTGATCGATTCGATGTAACGCACTGATGATGACGACCATTTTTTCTTTCTTATTTGACCATGAATGAAAGTTATGAAATGTCTGAAAAGGCAGTTCAACTCCTTCCCTCAGCTGTTGTTCATTCTTTGGAATCTATACCGTCCCAAGGAAGGGAAACTTCCGTCGAATCGTCAGTCTGCATCTTAGGAAGGTCCAACTCTCTGCCCCCCCGTCAGTCTGTTTGAGGGTCAACGCACTGTCATAGCATTCCTCAAACCTTGCCAGCGCCTTTTGCGCCCTCTCCTTATCCCCCCTCCTCTTTGGGTTGTATGCTGCAAATACGGATACATCATCTATGAATCTCAAGCCCCCAAAGACACGTTTCTGACTTCCCAAGGAAATCTGGAAGTCCCACTCGCTCTTCGCACACATGAGGCAAGCCAATGGGGGGCTCGAGCTCTTCCCCATTGGTATGCCGATCACTTGCTGTAGCAAAATCCCGCAAGCCTTCGTGAAACAGAATCCCAAATCAAAAGTAACAAAAGAAACAATGTACTCGAATGAGACAAAATCCCAACCATCCATCTGTCGACACTTACTCAGTCTAGCTCCTGTACCTCTCTTCTGTACAAAAATTCCCTCAAAGCCTTTCTCAGAAAACCACCAAACGACCCACTCGACTGCTGCCTTGATTGTTGCGTGAGGGAGACGGCTAAACATATCCTTTATGTCATAAGACGCCCCCAAAATTTTAACCTCACGTCTACTCTTTCCTAATCGGTTGTTCATTTGCTTCAGTTTGTTCTTCATTCCGGACACTGATCTCAAATTGAAATGTCCGGATTCAGGTAGAGAGTAGAGAAGCCCATTGATTCCTTTTGCCACAGTCTTACAAGCCTTCACCGATGGCTCACTGAAGGTAGGGCATATAGGGCGATACGTCTCAGTATCCTTATGGCAGTGCATATGCATTACCCCATTTACCCTTACTGTCCCATCTTCCATTAGCATTCAACCCTCTCCTCTCATATTCATCTTTTGTCGACGAGAGCAACTGTCCTTTGTCCATAGAACACAAGCGATACCCATCACTTAGCATGAAGGTTTCTTCCATACCCTTGCAATACACGAGTGGGCGTAAGACCAACGTCTCCCCCGGGTTCCGATCCAAAGGCACTCTTACCAAACCTTCCATCTTATCCCTTAGTGTCGTCACCAACTCCATCTCGTTCTTATATCCCAAATCCTGATTCGGTACAAAACAATGTTTGACTTTTTCGTTGCTACAGTTAAGCTCTTCTTTGGTGAGTTTCAGGTTCCCACCCCATGAACAAAACGCCTCTGTCAGTTCCTCTTTCAGAACTCCATCTCGTTGGCCATCCTCGTACCTAGGTATGTTCTTCGCATTCTTCACGATTTCTCAAGTATCTTCAAGTTCGCTCAGTCAGAAATGCACGTGCCCATCCTTCTTAGGGTAGGGCATACCAACACACACACAGCTGGAAGCACGAGTCGATGCAAATCGCCGATGGTTGTGGAGGATATCACCCACTGTAGGATTCTTTCTCCAAACAACACGTGCACGACGCTTTACCATTTCCTTCAGCGCACCTTCGATACTCAGACTACCAATCTTCTTCCTTACTACTCCCATTACTGCACTTTTTCTGATCCTGTCATCATACCGAATCTTAACAATGATTCTCGTCCTCACGTTCAAACCAAACTTATCCTGAACCACTCTCGAGATTATACACCGTGCTCGCGCTCGACTGCGCTTCGTGGTGAACGTTTTTACTGCGCTATAGTATCTGATAAGTTCAGTCAAACTCTTTCCGTGTAGTTCCTTTTGTCTCCTTCGGTTCTTGAACATTTTTACCATGTCATCTTTCAGTGTCAATAGAGACGGTGATGCTTCCGTCACTTTGCATAGTGAGACGACCCCCTCCGTTTCCAGTAAGTTTTTACATCGCCTCAGTGGTTTACTTCCCCGTCGAAACTTCACCCGTGTCTCCCCGAAGAGTCTCCTAACTAACTTCCATCCATCCGACCACACCTTCCCTCCATTACTCCAAATTCTGATTACTCCTTTCCTTCGTACTAGTTCCCGAAGTCAATCGACAATCCTCACTGTATTCTTCTCCGTCCCATCAATGCGCAGCTCAAGCAATTTCCCACAGTCCCTCTTGAGCTCATCCTTTCTCCACTCCCCTTCAACAAATGTTTTTCTCCGTTCTTTCTTCCCTGGTCGATGCCTCGCTTTCTTAGTAGCTCGCCTCGATCTCACCGATCTAACATTCAGCGAGGGAGACCAATGCTTAATTAGCGCAGACTCAACGACCTCCAATTCTCTGCGATCTGTGCTTGTGAACAACGGGAGAGCAACGTACTTGTGCGCCCCTACCTTACCGAGCCAGTTGTACACGGTCCTAGCGCGTCTATCCCGACCCCGACCCTGCCGATAGTGCTCCCGCCATCGTGTCCACAGATTCCTCTCAGTCAAACCAATGTACACATGTTTCTGCCAAGGGGATAGCAATACGTATACACAGTTCTTCGGTTCAACCAAGTCGAAGGTCCCTCTAGCTAACTCATCATTCTAGTAGTTCACAAATTTCTGCCCCCATTCCACCTTTCCCAACATAATCAAGCTTATCACCACTGCTCTAAACTCCCTCTCCACATTCTTATCCTTACCTAGTTGTAGTCGACGTAGATCACTAAGCTCACTCGCTCTCTTGAAAAGGTCGTCGCGACGACAAACACCTCACTCAGAGTCGTCCTCGCTGAAGGATTGGTCCGACTCGGAAGTCCCAACTTTGACTTCCTCTTTGATCACAACTCCTTTGCTGGACTTTCCGGTGATGCGGGGTGTTGCCGGTAGAGGAATATTCGAAGGATCGTAGGCTACTGCCGATCTCCGAGTAATCAGCCGTTTAATGGCTAACTCTCGATTCCCATAGGCCTCTTTCTCTCGCCGGCACGCTTCCTTCAATTCCTCAATGGTAAGTGCATCGTAGAATTCATGACACTCCTGTTCAAACTTCTCTTTGCCGCCTGGTCCGCACGATGCCATAATATGCTTCAGCGATAAGTCAATTTTTGACGGAGTACTGGATGCCGCCACATCCTTCGTTAAGTCACCTCTGATTGACTCAATGCGAGCCTTCGCTTCCTCAGAAATCCTCATACTTGTTCTCTTCTCCGGAGTAGTCATTGGAGGAATATTCCCAATCGACACTTCAGGTCCTCGTTTCCTCTTTTTCGCTAGTTCCAATTTCGCCGCCTGTTTACAAAGAGCCTCCAGTTCCTCATCTTCAGACTCTATGCTCCCAATAGTTCGTTGTGCAATCCATCTCCGTAATCGTTCTTTTTCCTCTTCTGCAGGATCCACCCGACTCCCCAACTTCCCTTGCCTCTTTCCTTTAGGTTCGTATCTTTCTATTTCCTCCATCCGATCCTTTTTCATTTCACCACGAATAATACGAATCAAACTGGCATCTCTTTCCTCCTCTTGCCGCAACCTCTGCTCTTCTCTCAGCGCTCTCCTTGCTTCTTTTTCGCGTCACGCCTCGTCTTCCAACCTCCTTCTCTCCGCCTCCCTTTCCCATTCAATTCGCTCCCGTCTTTCCTCATCCACCTATACGAAGTACTCCCGCATGAGGATATCCGTATTCTCGACACTTCGCTCGCTTCCGCTACTATCTGCCGAACGACTTCGCCGAGGACCAGCGTTCTCCACACCTGATGTCGTTCTCCCCATCCTGCTTTGTGTCACAGGTGGTGGTGCTGAAGGCACAAACGCCCTGCCTTGCGCCCTCGCTCTCCAAAATTCCGCACAATCCCGGATGAAATGTCCGCTTTCCCCACATTTGTAACATCTTCGCCTGTCTGGCGGAAGCGCTCCACCACCTTCATTCCCACGCCTTGATTCTCCTTCCTCGCTCATCTCGAAACGCTCTCGAATCACAATCAACAGCCGTACTCTTCTTCTTCGTTATCTGCTTCTTGCCTTCGCAGGTAATCCCTTTGCACGATTAAGCCGCCACCTCCGCTGGGTACAATCGCCCAGTTGGTTACGACCCTTAATAGTAGAAGTAAAAGACTGCACACAAAGCACACAGCGGACTGCAAGCAAAGCACACAGTGAACAGCAACTGGGAATGAACCCAATACACAGCTGTAGAATCATCTTAAGCAACCACTCGTATTAGAAACGCCACGTTAACCAGTGAAAGGCTAACTATGGTCCAAAAGATAGCGATGGCGTCGCAGATGAAAAGAAGTGGTCATGGTCATCCACAAGAACACGTTATTCGTTAAAATAGGACATTATACTGTGTCCTCTTTCTAACGAATTAATTTTGGTTGTAGCTTAAGCAACGTAGGGATGCCCATCCAGGGGTTAACCACATGCAAAAGTGTGCTGAGATCCATACTTGTAAAACTTCATAAATGAAATCCCAAATGTGGAAGTGTGTTGGGATCCTTACTTGTTGAACTTCAAAAACATGTTGGTGATCCTGTGGGGAAGTGTGTTGGGATCCATACTAGTCAAACTTCATAAACGAACAACGATTGGCACGCCAAAGGGAACCCTGTGCGGAAGTGTGCCGTGATCCTAACTTGTCAAACTTCAATTTCATAAATGTGATGAAAGATACAGTAACTATATTGTGACACTGTCCTCTTTCTTACGAATTCATTTTTGACTGCAGTGTTTGTACATGGGCATGCCCGCCCAGTCGCCCCAAATGCGAAAGTTTGCTGACATCCATAGTTGTTGAACTTTTTTGTAAATAAAATTAGCAATGTAATTAGATTGAATTAGATTAAATTGTGCTCCATCACGATGAATATCCGCATTTTAAATGGTCATGCAAAGAAGGTTTGGGCATCCACTGACCAATTTCACATAAGATGAGATTTCTCGTTCATCCACCAACCAGTTTCACAATCATGTTTACACTTCCAATTGAACAGAATTCGAAACATGGAACACAATACTTCAACTTGAACAGAATTCGGAACATGGAACATTACGTGACATAGATTACAAAGCCCATACATGACGCAGGACATGCATTGAGCTTGCCGTAGATAACGCGAACTCGGAACGATAAAAGAAAGCAATGCCTCTGGCAGAAGGACAGTTGAATAATGTCTCGATTTATGAAATTTAACGATCAACGAATGAAATACCTTAAAAAAAAGTTTCGAAGTCAATCAAATCTATCAAAGACAACGATGTTCTAAGACACATGATGCTAATTGTTGTCTAAGAAGCGGAATATCTTTACAAGAGAACCGGAAAGGCGGTCGATCTCCATGTTGCAACAACGTCGCATACATCAACATGAACACACTACAACTTGCTCCATCCACTTGTCTCGGAACTCCATCCACCACAACATTTCCCACCATGGACTTCCAATTCCTACCCGACCGCCTATGTGATGTTTGACGATCCAAATACTGCACAATCAACCCACAAAAAAAAACAAGAATCAGCTACAATGCGAGGAAAATAATCAAAAATTTTGAGA